AATAAAACCAGAGCAGGGCAGGAGTTAACGCTGTGAGTGCAGATTTTATTCAGGAACTATTGCAATAGGCGAAAGAGACCTCAGTATAGAACCAGGCTCAATTCTAAATACAGCATGGACAAGTGGCCATTTATAGTCACAAAGCAGGGTAGGGTCAGTGGTTGGAAAAGTACTGAGAGGAAACGTCAGAAGTAAGGGGGGATTGTGGCTAAACCAACTTGACAGGATTCTTGCTGAAGGCGGGCCAGGGTGATCAGACATCACCTGGGGGATGGTGGGGATAAGGAATTCGACCAGATATTCAGGATGAACGTCCTTTGTAATCTGACTTAACAGGATTCTTGCTACCACTGACTGATGCAGACCGACAGAAACCAAGGGTGTCCACTGATTGTGGAGGGCTAGAGGGCTAAGAGAAGTCTGACTAGAGTTAGGTGGAGAGAGTATTTGTCAACAGTCATAACAGATCTTACCTCCAAGGGTTTCTCAGGCGATTAAATGATTATATAATACCCTTAGCACAGAGGTGGGCTGAGAGTAAATCCTCAATAAATGGCAGCTGTTATTACTTTTCTTTCATGGGCCTTATTATGACTGTAATCATGTAATTCTTCACATGACTGTTTGTGAAAGTCTTTCTCTCATGGGAGACTTCAAAATCTGAAAGGACAGAGGTTTCTTCATTCACCACTGTATCTTCAGCACCTGATAGTGTGCTGGTACTCAGTAGGTGTTTAGTGAAACATTGTTGAATAAATGAAGGATTTAATGATGTCATCATATTTGGTTTTTAAAAAATATATGTGAAAACACTAATTTTACATGGGACCAAATGGATGATAGAAAAAAAGACTGACGATAAATTTCATAGTGTTTTTATTTCTGTTCACAAAATTTCCAGATGTGCTTAGTAAAATTATTGCCAGTTTGTGAATGAGAATCTGAATAATTTGTTTGAAGATCATACATGGAACTAATTATATAAGAGTCACTAAGTTTGCCAAACTTTTCAGTTGCTTTTAATTTAGTCACTCTTTGACAAACTTTATAACACATGTTTTCAAATCAGAGTTTTGTTTATTTATCTCAAGCCGTATGTAAAGTCCCACTTAGAAAGATTTTTAGGTTCTAGATACAAAAAAGGTTTTAATTAGAACAAGATCATATGTTCAAGGTTAATGACTTACTTTTGTTTATTATTTATTTAGAGAGGGTCTTCCTCTGTCACGCAGGCTGGAATGCAGTGGCACAATCGTAGCTCACTGTAGTCTCATATTCCTGGGCTCAAGTGATCCTCCTGCATCAGCCTCCCAAGTAGTGGGGCTATAGGTTGTGCCACCACACCAGGCTCAATATTTTTTGTGGAGACATGGTCTTGCAATGTTGCCCAGGCTGGCCTCAAACTCCTGGCCTCAAGTGATCTTCCCACCTCAGCCTTCCAAAGTGCCGATGTTACAGGCATGAGCCACCACACATGGCCTAAGGTTAGTGATGTTTACAAAGCCTAATTTCTTTTGTTAAAGAGAACTAGAAAGTGACAGTAGTTCAAGTAGTGTCTTTGTTCAGGCTGCTATAACAAAATACCACAAACTGGATAGTTTATAAACAATGGAAAGGTATTTCTTAGAGTTCTGAAGGATGAAAGTTGTTATTGTGGTGTCGGTGTAATTCAGTGTCTGGTTGGGTCCTCACTTACTGGTTTGTGAACAATCATCTTTTTGCTTTGTCCCCACATGGCAGAAAAAGCGTGTCTTTTGTAGGTGCACAAATCCCATTCATGAAGGCTCCTTCTTGAGCTAATCGCCTGCCAAAGGCTCCACCTCCCAACATTGTGGGAGGATTTGAACATAAGAATTTTGTAATTCCCACATTGGGGATTAAGATTTGAATATATGAATTTTGAGAAGACACAAACATTCAGACCATAGCAAGTGATGAAACAGATTGTATTCAGGAGCTATTGCAATAGAGGACAAGAGACCTCAGTACAGAGCCAGGTTCAATTCCAAGCACAGCATGGATCAGCGGAGATTTATAGCAAAGAGCAGGGTGGGGTCAGTGGATAGAAAATTGCTAAGAGGAAACATAAGGGGTAAGGGGAGATTCTGGCTAAACAGACTTGATAGAATTCTTGCTGAAAATGGGCCAAGGTGATTGACATCACTTGCGGGATGGTGGGGATGAGGAAGTGGATTAGATATGGGAAGTGATCAGATATCAAGGGTGGGGATTCTCTCTAAATTGACTTAACAGGATTTTTAAAACTGGGATATGCAGGTTTGGCAAGGATGGGGCCTTGTCGAGAAGAGAATTTAGAGGAGCTCAACTAAAGTTTGGTCAAGATGAGAGTTTCCATCACTAACAAACCTTTTATTTTTCCACTGTTATTTTTCAGAAGGTATTAACCCAAAGTTAGAAATTGCTGGAATGGTGTAGGGAAAGAAAAATACTTTTTTCTTCAACCCTTATAGGTTTTTAGTTGGAATGGACCCCTGTAACAAAAGACAGGTTAGGAAGAAAAAAGCAGAAGTTTATTTACGTGCATATTTCACATCTACATGGGAGAAACCCAGGGAGTGAGTACTTCTCAAAGAGGTGGCTTTGAATTCCAGCTCCTTCAGCATCTTCACCAAAACACAGTAAATTTTGAGAGAAGTGACAGGACAAAGGAAAGCACTGTTAGTCTGTAGGGGTGGCAAATGGGGTTGAGTGCAAATAAATGATAGATAAACGCTAGTTAGAAAATCTTATTCATGTAGATTCCTCTTATACCATCTCCAGATGGTTGAGTTCAGTGGTTCATCTTCATTCTCCCTGGTAGAAAGGAAGGCGGGATACCTTTGTCCTCGTAAGCCTATGTCCTGCATTTAGGTGAATACGGGGAGCATAGGGAGCTTTGCTACATGGGCTTCTTTTTAATGGCCTTTAGATCAACAATCTTTCATATTTTGGGGTGTCATATTCCACTCTCCCACATTGCTAATAATTATTTTAAAGTAGTTGTCCTACAATTTGCTATTCAGGCACATTCTTTTTTTTTTTTTCTTTTTTTTTCTTTTTTTTTTGAGATAGAATCTCTCTCTGTTGCCCAGGCTGGAGTGCAGTGACATGATCTCGGCTCGCTGCAACCTCTGCTTCCTGGGTTCAAGTGATTCTCCTGCCTCAGCCTCCTGAGTAGCTGGGACTATAGGTGTGTGCCACCATGCCGGGCTAATTTTTTTGGTATTTTTAGTAAAGACGGGGTTTCACCGTGTTAGCCAGGATGGTCTCGATCTCCTGACCTCGTGATCTGTCCACCTTGGCCTCCCAAAGTGCTGGGATTACAGGCATGAGCCACTGCACCCAGCCTCAGACACATTCTTGAGAATGAAACTAGTCAGTCATAGATTATGAAATACTTTAAATCCGATGAAAGTCAGATTTATTTCATTAAAGAAGAACTATTGAAAGGAGCAGATATTGAAAATGGAACAATGTGATGTTATTTCACTTTGTGAGCAACCCAGAATAAACATATAAGATGTAAGTAGTGATACACAGGCCAATCAATGATTACTGAGGCACTTAGATTAATAGTATAATTTATGTAGAAGTAACCTTACTCTCTTCAATTAATAGCATACATATCTAAGAAGTATGACATTTGTGCTAGGTCAGGCAAAAGTGCTGGTCATTTCAATGTCTTGTACAATAATAAACATACCTTAGAAATTGGTATGTGTAAATTTCCCATCCTGAGTCACATTTTACTAGTGGCTGACCAAATGACTTAAGATCAAAAGGTACTGTCTTTGAACTAAATACTGCACAAGTGGTTTCAGTGTGTGAGACTTTCCCCTGCCAGGACCCATTTTACTGTCAGAGTTGGCTCAGAGTTTTGGCTGAGGTTGGGCGTAATAGGTGCTAAGTACCTTTATATTAAGTGCTTGGCTATCTTTGCCAGATTTGCAGAAGGCTTGCTCCACAAGCTGTTCTGCTTGAATTGGCCCACCCACCTAACTTCCCATAGAAAACCGAAGTTGTGTGTCTCTTTCTGTAATGAGGGAGAGGTGGAACTGTGTCCTCCCCATTTTAAGGCAAGTGACAAGAAGGCTAGAGAGAAACAAATTTGATACCTTGACCTATGCCCATAGTGTCTGAGTGGTGCAGAGACTGATGTCAGACATACAAATCCATTGTAATAGTTGGTCTCCCATGGTGCAGTAGTCACTCCCCCATTAGAGTAGGCAGATAGTTAGACATGAACAGGAAAGGAAGCCCGTGGGGGAGGAAGCTCTGGAAAATCTCAAGCCCCAGAGACCACCTGAAACCTGCATACTAAGTATGAGCAGAGATGAGGGGAGATATCTACAAAGAGAGAAACACCCTGAAACACCCCCTTAGGATGTCCAGTCAGTGCTCATTCTGCAGATAAAATTGTCAGAATCTAGCTAGCTACATGTTGATAAGAAGGGCAAAAGGGCAAAAGAGAAATTAATGAGATACGTGGGCACAGTAAGTACAGACCTGACCACTATACGACCTTCCTGGGGTGGTGGTAATAAGCAATACCACCAGTAGGAGGATTAGTGTTGATCGCGTGGTCCCACACATGTGCATCAACTGACAGTAAGAGAGAATCCCACAAACCTGAGCAGGGAATTAGGCGGGGGTCAAAGGCGGAGACTTAACACAGAAGCAGGAAACTAGACAAAGACTTAAGACAGAGAGAAGACAGAGGCAGGAACTTAAGGGAAAAGTCTGACCTCATGAAAACTGCAACACAGAACTCTCAGGGTTGTTCCTGGGAAGGTTAGCCCACTTCTCTCTTGGAGTGTACTTTTTTTTCCTTAATACACCTTTTTGCTTACTTTACTAATTGGTCTCTTGGCTGAATTCTTTCCTTCAAGAAGGTAAGAATCAAAGATCCCCACACTTCCCAGTAATACCCCTACATTTGCAATAATGTTTTTGAATAAAGTCTTTCTTCACTAAGTCTGGATCTCTTTTTTATTTGCCAGGACTTGAAATAGCTGTATAAGATGGGGAGCAGTTCAGTGCATGTCTGGAAAGACAGGAGCTGATTGCAATTCTGAAGGTCAGTTGGTAGAGACACGCCCTGAGTGAATCAAGAGAACTGTAGACAAGTGAACCCAATTGAGTGAGGGAAGAGGAAGGAAGAAATATCTCTAAAGAACCACAAATGTAACCACCCAATGAGTTCATTTAACTTGCTGCCCAGATAGAGCCAATTTATCATGACAGAGTAATTGCAATAGAGAAAGAGTTTAATTCTTGCAGAGCCAGGTGAATGGGAGACTGGAGTTTTATTATTACTCAACTCAGTCTCCCCCAAAGTTGAAAATTTGGAGACTGGAGTTTTTTGAGGATAATTTGGGGGGGCAGGGGGACCAAGGAGTGGGGAGTGCTGATTGGTCAGGTCAGAGATGATCTTAGGAAGTTAAGTCTGTCCTCTTGTGTTGAGTTGGTTCCTGGGTGAGGGCTGTAAGACCAGATGAGCTAGTTTATCTATCTGGGTGGTGCCAGCTGATCCATCAGGTGCAGGGTCTCAAAAATATCTTAAGCACCAATCTTATTTTTACAATAGTGATGTTATCCCTAGGAGCAACTGGGGAGATTTAGAAACTTGTGGCCTCTGGCTGCATGACTTTTAAACCATAACGTTTAATCTTGTGGCTAGTTTGTTATTCCTACAAAGGCAGTCTGGTCCCCAGACAAGTAGGGGATTTATTTAGGGAAAGGGCCATTATCATCTTTGCTTCAAAATTAAACTTTAAACTAAGTTCCTCTCAAAGATAGTTTGGCCTATGCCCAGGAATGAACAAGGACGGCTTGGAGGTTAGAAGCAAGATGAAGGCAGTTCGATCAGATCTCTTTCATGGTCATAATTTTCTCATTGTCATAATTTTTGCAAAGGCAGTTTTACAAAGGTACCTCATGAGAAAAAAATCAGCACTGGGGATCTGCTACATTGAGCTCACTAATGGCAGGTGACAACTTTATCTCTGGCAAGACCTTTCTGTCAATAATAATAATAATTGTTATTTTTTCTTATACTAGTATGTCTCAAGACAGTAGCTAGAAAATGTGGGTTGACATGGAGGGAGGAAATGACCCAGAAGCTGACCACAATCCTGTCCTCCAAACCTGAAGCTCTGAGTGCTAGAGGAGTAGAGAGACATTTTACATTGGATAATGGTTCTGAGTTTTGATATTACCATGGACTGGATTTTTTTTTTTTTAATCTAGAAGTGATTCGATAATTTTTTACTATCTGATAATGCCTGGAGTCAGGAGTGGGAACATTTATGTCCACTGAATGGTTTTGATGAGACAGCATTGGAAAAGAATAATGTCTTCTTTCTTAACAAATGCCTAAGTTTACATACAGGAATTCCTTAGTACCACACATTGTCAACTATGTTTTTTTGTGGTTAAAATGAGAAAAAAAGAAAAGTGAATGATCTGGTTTGGCTGTGTCCCCACCCAAATCTCATCTTGAATTGTAGCTGCCATAATTCCCACGTGCCATGAGAGGGACCTGATGGGAAGTAATTGAGTCATGGGGGCAGGTCTTTCCTGTGCTGTTCTCATGATAGTGAATAAGTATTACAAGATCTGATGGTTTTATAAAGGGGAGTTCCCCTGCACACTCTGTCTTGCCTGTCACCATGTAATATGTGACTTTGCTCTTCCTTCATATTCCACCATGATTGTGAAGGCCTCCCCAGCCATGTGGAACTGGGACTCCATTAAACCTCTTTCCTTTGTAAGTTACCCAGCCTTGGGTATGTCTTTATTAGCAGCATGAGAACAGACTAATACAATGAATATATTACAGATGATGAAAATAAAGCTTTCCCCCGTTGATCAGATATGTATTGATGGTCTATTTTGTGTTAGGCACTGGGAATACACAGCCATGTTTTCCTGGACTTCATGGGAGATGACTGTGATGATTAATTGTATGTATCAACTTGTACTGGAACAAGTGGTGCAAACATTATTCTATGTCTGTGAAGGTGTTCCTGAGTGAGATGTACTTTTGACTTGGTTGGCTGAGTAAAGCAGATTGCTCTCTCTATGTGCGTAGGCATCATCCAACCAAGTGATGTATTAGTCAGGGTTCTCTTAGAGGGACAGAACATATATATATATAAAGGTGAGTTTATTAGGTATGAACTTGCATGATCACAAGGTCCTACAATAAGCCATCTGCCTGCTGAGGAGTAAGGACAGCCAGTCCGAGTCCCAAAACTGAAGAACCTGGAGTCTGATGTTGGAGGGCAGGAGGTATCCAGCATGGGAGAAAGATGTAGGCTGGGAGACTAAGCCCACCTCTCCTTTTCATGTTTTTCTGCCTGCTTTATATTCGCTGGAAGCTAATTAGATTGTACCCACCAGATTAAGGGTGAATCTGCCTTCCCCAGCCCACTGACTCAAATGTTAACCTCTTTTGGCGACACCCTCATAGACACACCCTGGATTAATACTTTGTATCCCCTGATCCAATCAAGATGACACTCAGTAATAACCATCACAAGTGAAGACCTGCATAAAACAAAAAAGTTAAGACAACCACTATTGATGCCTGAATGCTTGAGCTAGGAGCTAGGATATCTTTTATTTTTTATTTATTTATTTATTTTTTTACTTTCTGACTTTAAAGTTGGACTCAAACTGAAACAGTGACTCCTTTTGGGTCTTGAGCCTGCCATCCTGGAACTTACACCATCAGCTCTCCTGGGTCTACTGATTGTGCATCTTGGGATTTTCTAGCCTCCATAATTGTGTGAGTAAACTCTTTATAATACTCTTTACAAATATACACAAATATATGCACCTATGTACACATATCCTATTGGTTCTATTTCTCTGGAGAATCCTAACTAATAAAATGTCACTATCGTAGAAAAATCACACAAATAAATGTGGGTGGTAGGTACTATGAGAGCACATAATAAGCAGATTTAACCTAGTCAAGGAAAGCTAGAGTAAAGAAATATTGTGCTGCTTTCAGACTGAAAAATGGATTAAGAGGAGGCAAAAGCAGAAGCAGAAAGTTAAAAGTTACTGCATTAGTACAAATGAGATGATTATTACATGAACAAAGGGAGTTACGGGTTTGGAAGAAGATGGGTTACACATGTAACTGGGTAGATGGATGGTGGTCCCTTTTGCTGAGAAAGGAGACAACTGGCTTATCAGGGATAATATCATGATCTTCGTTTGGTTGAGTTTAAGTTCTTTTGCCATTTCTAGGTAAAATGTTAAATATGCAGTTGATTAGATGCGAATAAAATATATAAGGGTGTAGCATGCTCTTTTGTTCTAATAACACCAATTAATGGGAAAGATAGTTGATTTTCTCACTGAACAGGCTTAGTTACGAAAAAGGAAAAGCAAGAATGAAGGAAGGTTAAAATTATAATAATATATAATAGTTGCTGAGTGCTTTAGGTATTAGGTAAGCCCTAAATGCCTTACATACTAAATTAGTGAATATGTTACACATCACACTATGAGGTCTAAATACTATTATCCCCATTTGGTAGACTGACTTTAAGATAGATGATCCTCAATGATCCCCATCTTCTGGTATTTGTGCTCTTGTGTCATCCTCTCTCACAGTGAGGAGAGCTGACTTGTGTAACCAATAGGATACTGCAGAAGTGATTGAGTGTCCTGACTTCTGAGGCCAGATCATAAGAAACATTGTGGTTTCCATCTTGTTCTTTTGAATTACTTGCTCTGGAAGAAGCCGGTCACCATTTTGTGAGGAAACTCAAGCAGCTCATGGAATAGCTCGTGTGGATAGAAACTCACCACATGAGTGAGAGATTCACCACATGAGTTTTCACCACATAAAAGTTTGAAAAATTTGCAGCCTGACAATGTAGTAGAAAAGAAAACCCCATTTTCTGGGAAGAAATTCAAGCTGATAGCAGCCATCATGGAAACCCTGGCCCCAGACAAGGCTTTAAATGCCTGAAGCCCAGCCCACATTTTGACTGCAACCTCAGAAGAGAATCCAAATCAGAACTACCCAGGTAAGACTCTTCTGAATTCATGACCCAAAGAAACTGTGGGACAATACATATATATTGTTTTTGACCACTGTTTTGGGGTGATTTGTTATGCAGTAGTAGACAATACATTTCATTTTATAGATAAAGAAAATAAGTCACAGAGAGGTTAATTAACTTGCCCAGTATCATACAGCTAAAAGTGGCAAAACCAGGATTTGAACTCACATTGTCTGGTTTGGCTCCCCTCCTGAACCATCACACTCTATGCCTCTGACGCTTAAAGAGAGTGAGCAAGATGTTCAGCATGAGGAATGAAGAGGATTTCTAAGTGGCCAATAGGTACATAAGTATGCTCATTTGCAGAATTTTATTTTATTATTTTGTTTTCCAGAATTTTATATAGAGTTTATTCTTTAGAGCAGTTTTAGGCTCCTAGCAAAATTGGGCAGAATTTCCATATTATTTTTAGTCATCAAGTCTTTGTATATATTTGAATTTACACAGAAGCTGATAATAATTTTTTTTTTTTTTGAGTTGGAGTCTTGCTCTGTCACCCAGGCTGGAGTGCAGTGGTGGGATCTCGGCTCACTGCAACCTCTGCCTCCTGGATTCAAGTGATTCTCCTGCCCCAGCCTCCCAAGTAGCTGGGATTACAGGTGCTTGCCACCACGCCCAGCTAATTTTTATATTTTTAGTAGAGACGGGGTTTCAGCTTCACAGCAAAGGGGATGTTTTCTCTTTGCCCCTACATTCTAATCTATCTCCTTGGTTTTCTCTTTACTTCTGACATCAAAATAATCATCTTTCCATGTCCATATTTTGTAGGGAAGAAGTGACCCACCAATTACATGAGAAAGGGGAACTAAACCAGTTTTTACTGCTGTCTCATCCCTAAACTTTATGCCTCACAATCATGGAGGAAGGTGAAGGAGGAATGAGGCATGTCTTACATGGTGGCAGGCAAGAGAGTTTTAGAGTAGAATTAACTTTCAATTTTTTGTTAATAATTGTCACAACGATCAATGCTAAGTCAGCTACCTATGCACCTCCTTCTTCTCTCTTCATTATCCCTGCATTGTCATTATGAAAAAGTTGACTTCAGATAAGACCCAGACACAGAATAGGCTGTGCACCAACTTAAGAAAAGTACTTGGCAAAAGACAAGTCTTCATTTCCTAAGGGAATAAGTAAATACCTATTGGAAGATTATATTTTATTGGCATATAGTATATAGTTCATTATAATAGCAAATTAACATCTATCAAAAATGGCCAATGAGCAATTTTTGACCAGTACCTTCTGGAATAGTCTTCTAGAAGATTCCTCTTTAAAAATATTGCTGCATCTGCATAAACTCAGGAAAAATCTGGCAACCCCAGGATTTAACTCGAAAAGATAAAACAACAAAGAGAGACCTGGGGAGCTATTTAGGAAACATTAGTGTGATTCAGATTTCCTTCTGTCATTAGCTATTTGCAGATTCAATTTTGTGTGAAAACAATTTTAGGGTTGGGGCAGGGGGGATCTTGGAGGAAACAACTGTAGTCCAATTAGTTAACTTTTCAGAAGACTACCTCACTGGGTTTCAGACAGGTTATCTCTGTAAAGATACTGTCTCTCAACTGAGTTGCTGATAAGTATTGAGTGGCAGCCAGATAAATCCCTTGATTCCTGACAAATAGCTGGAATATAAAATATTTAGTCTTTATTGCTGGCTGATGCAGAGCAATAGGTTTAAATTTTAGGCAGGCCAAGGATAGGCCACCAAGTTTGTAGATGCTGAGGAACCAGACAAGGATAGATCTGAATAGAAGATTCTCAGCTTGTCCCAGGGTGTTTCTGAGAGCAAGGCTAAGATACCTTCAAACATTTTACTTCTGCTCTGTCATACCAACAAGTAACACGAGTCTCAAATTTCAAAGCCATGCTTGAATGTGCAAAAATGTTTACCCTCCAAATTTTAAAGCAGATGTAATATAAAACAGGGACGTTTTCTGTGAGATGAAATCAATTCCCTTTATGTTTTCTAGAACTTAATGCTTCTTAGTTAGTATACACTTTGGTTATTGTTATTTTGAAAGAAGAGATGAGGATTCATACAGTAAAATTAGTAAATAGAAAACAGGTTTAAATTACAGTTAATCTTCAGAAATACTAGTATTAAACATTTTAATGTTAATACTACCGATTTAATCTCAACAAAAAGAGTCAAACTCTGTAAAATATTTGAAGAGATTTATTCTGAGCCACATACGAGTGACCAATGGCCTGTAACATAGTCCTCAGGAGATCCTGAGAACATGTGCCCAAGGCAGTTGAGCTACAACTTGGTTTTATACATTTTAGGGAGACATAACACATCAATCAATATATGTAAGATGTACATTGGTTCAGTCCAGAAAGCTGGGACAACTGAAAGTTGGGAGATTTTCCAAGTCATAAGCACATTCAAAGATTTTTCTTCTGGGTGCAATGACTGATACCTGTAATCCCAGCACTTTGGGAGACCAAGGCAGACAGATCACATGAGGCCAGGAGTTCAAGACCAGCCTGGCCAACATGGCGAAACCCCATCTCTAATAAAAATACAAAAATTAGCCAGGTGTGGTGGTGCACACCTGTAATCCTAGCTGCTTGGGTAGCTGAGGCAGGAGAATCATTTGAATGCAGGAGGCAGAGGTTGTAGTGAGCCAAGATAGCACCACTGCACTCCATCCTGGGCAACAGAGCAAGACTCCATCTCAAAAAAAAAAAAAAGAAAAAAAAAGATTTTTCTGGTTGACAATTGGTTGAGTTATTGTCTAAAGACACAGAATCAATAAAAAGGAATGTCTGGGTTACCATAAGGGTTTGTGGAGACCAAGGTTTCATCATGCATATGAAGCTTCCAGGTAACATGCTTCAGAGAGACTAGATTATAAATGTTTCTTACCAGATTTAAAGAGTCTGTTCTATCAGTCTTAAGTTCTGTGTTGATGTTAATGCTGGTAAGCTGGGCCTGAGCTCTAAGAGGGAGAAAGGTATGATGAGGCATGCCCAACTCCTCCCGTCCCATCATGACCTGACCTAGTTTTTTCAGGTTAACTTTGGAATGCTATTGGCTGAAAGGAGGGGTCCATTTGGATGACTGAGAGGCTTAGAATTTTATTTTTGGTTTACATCAGAATGACACATTGTCTCAAAATATTTTGGCTGAATTTTTGTTTTTATTTTTTTCCAATCAGGGAATAGAAGAATCTCAACATTATTTTCCTCCCAAATCGTATTTGTATCTTTCAGTTTCTCCTTTTAAGTCAATTACCTGATTAAAAAAAAAAATCCATCTTGTAAATCAGGACTATTAAAAGAATGACGTATTTCCTAAGTAACTGCTCCAAGGGAAGAAAGACAATTTTCAAATTATTTTATGTTAGTTAATACTTTTAAGCCAAGATCAGAGCTTTCCTGTTAATTTTTAACTAACCAAAAATTTTTAAAAATTTTATTACCAGGCAAAATTTTGTTGACTTTCAGTTTGTCAAACCAATGGAAATAGACACATTCAAATTGACATTCAGTTCTAATTAAATTAATTGGTACCAATAGCTCAGCTATGAGAAACATAGGTAGGTTGTAAAAATGCTTATATGAGTTCTTCTACTTTTAATTTTTTTTTCTTTTTTTTATTATACTTTATGTTCTAGGGTACATGTGCACAAAGTACAGGTTTGTTACATATGTATACATGTGCCATGTTGGTGTGCTGCACCCATCAACTCATCATTTACATTAGGTATATCTCCTAATGCTATCCCTCCCCACTTCCCCCATCCCACAACAGGCCCCAGTGTGAGATGTTCCCCTTCCTGTGTCCAAGTGTTCTCATTGTTCAATTCCCACCTATTAGTGAGAACATGTGGTGTTTGGTTTTCTATTCTTGCAATAGTTTGCTGAGAATGATGGTTTCCAGCTTCATCCATGTCGCTACAAAGGACATGAACTCATCCTTTTTTATGGCTGCATAGTATCCCATGGTGTATATGTGCCACATTTTCTTAATCCAGTCTGTCATTGATGGACATTGGGGTTGGTTCCAAGTCTTTGCTATTGTGAATAGTGCCGCAATTTTTTTTCTTCTTTTTAAAGATTGGCTCCACACGGTGGCTCACACCTAGAATACCAGCACTTTTTGGGAGACACAGGTGAGAAGATGGCTTGAGCCCAGTAGTTTGAGACTAGCCTGGGAAACATGGCAAGACCTCATCTTTACAAATAATAATAAAAAAAATTAACTGGGCATGGTAGTGCACACTTGTGGTCCCAGCTACTCAGGAGTCTCAAGTGGGAGGATTGCTTGAGCCTGGACAGTTGAGGCTGCAGGGAGCTGCGATGGCACCCCTGCACTCCAGCCTGGATAACAGAGCGAGACCCCATCCCTCCAAAAAAGGCAAGGGGAGTTAATATTTGTCTAAGATCAATTCACATTATCAGTGTCACAATAAAATTCCAAACCTTAACATCTGGAAACATGTGAAATAGTGGCTTTTTTAGAGAACAGGAATTAAAACTTTAACTCTATAAAATATCTTCCAACTTTTTATCAGAACCAGGTTTGGTTCACAAGAATCCTTGTCACCCTATGACAGTATTAGACGTATCTTGTTACTGGAAATATAGTCAGAAGAAAACATCATTTAATGCCTAATCAACAAATAGAAAATCCTGTCACCAAATTAGAGAAAAATAAAAGCAAACCAAAAACAATCCTTATCTCAAGGCCTATGACATTCAATAACTATGTTCCATTTCATGAATATTCACAAAAATTTCCAATAACAAGGGGTAGCATCTCTTCAGGAAGTTGACCTCATTTTACTTATGGTTAAAATCCCTGAGAGAATTTTTAGGAAAAAAAACAACAACAACAACTCTAAAGCCCTACCCTGGGCTGTCACAGTTGCCCATAGGCCCAACACCACATGTAAGCCGCCAAGGCTTGGGACTTGCACTCTCTGAAGCCATGGCCTGAGCTATACTTTGGC